ATAAAATTTTAATGGAGGAAAATTGCAAGCCTAGCATAGAAAGTCAGAGAAGATTGAACCCAAACATGAAAGAAGTGGTCAGGGCAGAGATACTGAAGTTATTGGATGTAGGAGTCATCTACCCAATTTCAGATAGTGCATGGATCAGCCCTGTTCAAGTGGTACCGAAAAAAGGGGGAATCACAGTGGTGAAAAATGAGAAGAATGAACTAATTCCCACCAGAACAGTTACGGGTTGGAGAGTTTGCATTGACTATCGCAAACTCAATGCAGCTACACGAAAGGATCACTTCCCACTCCCATTCATTGATCAGATGTTGGAGAGGTTGGCTGGACGTTCACATTACTGCTTTCTTGATGGATACTCGGGCTATAATCAGATACCTGTCGCACCAGAGGATTAGGAGAAGACCACTTTCACTTGCCCCTATGGTACTTTTGCTTATCGTAGGATGCCTTTTGGTCTTTGCAACGCTCCAGCCACATTTCAGAGGTGCATGATGGCAATATTCTCTGATATGATTGAAAGGTTTATCGAGGTTTTCATGGACGACTTCTCAGTATTTGGATCTTCATTTGATGAATGTCTAAACCATTTGAATCTGGTCTTACAGAGATGCAAGGAGACTAACCTGGTTTTAAATTGGGAAAAATGCCACTTTATGGTACAGGAAGGCATTGTACTTGGGCATAGGATATCGGCAAAAGGAATTGAGGTAGACAAGGCAAAAATTCAAGTGATAGAGAAATTACCACCGCCTACATCAGTTAAAGGAGTTCACAGTTTTTTGGGGCACGCTGGGTTCTACCGGAGGTTTATAAAAGATTTCTCGAAGATCACCAAACCTTTGTGCAATTTACTAATAAAAGATGCAACCTTTGAGTTCAATAAGAATTGTCTCACAGCCTTCAACACTTTAAAGAAAAAGCTTACGACAGCACCAGTGATTGTAGCACCAGACTGGGAATTACCTTTTGAATTGATGTGTGATGCAAGTGATCACGCTGTAGGTACAGTATTGGGACAGTGGAGGAACAAGATTTTTCATGTGATCTACTATGCAAGCAGAACTCTAAATGATGCACAAATAAATTATGCAACCACTGAAAAGTAGCTACTGGCTGTGGTATTTGCATTTGACAAATTCAGGTCATACCTCGTCGAGTCTAAAATCATCATCTATACTTATCATGCGGCATTGAAGTATCTGCTCACAAAGAAGGATGCAAAGCTGAGATTAATTCATTGGGTGCTGTTGTTGCAAGAATTTGACATTGAGATACGTGACAAGAAGGGCACCGAGAACGTAGTAGCAGATCACCTATCCAGACTAGAATCTGGGGAGACGGAAGATTTAGTGGATATAAATGAGATCTTCCCGGATGAACAGATGTTGAGAGTGGATGAAGCACCTTGGTACGCAGATATTGTCAATTACTTAGCCAGTTCCATTCCACCGCCTGACTGCTCCAGTCACCAAAGAAAAAAATTCTTCGTCGAGTTAAAATACTATTTCTGGAAGGATCCAATTCTCTATAGACGAGGAGCTGATCAGATAGTGAGGAAGTATGTACCTGAAGAAGAAGTACATGAGATTCTCGAGCACTGTCACTCATCCGCATATGCAGGACACTTTGGAGCTTCAAAAATAGCTGCAAAGATTTTACAATCAGGTTTCTACTGGCCTACACTGTTTAAAGACACATTTGAGTTTGTTAAGAGGTGTGACAGATGTCAACGCACTGGGAATATCTCGAGGAGAAATGAAATGCCACTAAATAATATTTTGGAAGTGGAGATATTTGATGTTTGGGGAATTGACTTCATGGGACCTTTCCCCCCTTCGTTCTCAAACCAGTATATCTTGGTGGCAGTGGATTAAGTCTCAAAATGGGTGGAAACAATTGCATTGCCAACAAATGACTCAAAGACAGTAATTGGATTCTTGAAGAAATATATTTTCATCCGATATGGTACACCGCGGGCCATAATCAGCGATGGGGGCAAGCATTTCTGTAATCGCCAGTTTGAGCAGTTGCTGAATAAATATGGCGTTAAACACCGCGTTGCTACTCCATATCATCCACAAACCAGTGGGCAAGTTGAGGTATTTAATTGGCAGCTGAAGAGAATACTAGAAGTCACTGTGAATTCATCTAGAAAGGATTGGTCTAAAAAGCTAGACGATGCATTATGGGCTTACAGAATAGCATTTAAAACCCCGATCGGCATGTCTCCATACCACCTAGTCTTTGGGAAAGCATGCCATCTGCCTTTAGAAATGGAGCACCCGACATATTGGGCTATGAAACAGTTAAATATGGACCTGAATGCCGCCGGAGAAAAGCGTTTACTGCAACTGAATGAGTTGGATGAATTTAGAATGGAGGCTTATGAAAATACAAAACTTTACAAGGAGCGAACCAAGAAGTGGCATGATATGCACATTCAGATGCGAGTATTCGAAGTGGAACAGCAAGTACTACTGTATAACTCGAGACTCAAGCTATTCCTAGGAAAACTACGATCACGGTGGTCGGGTCCCTACACAGTTACAAAAGTCCTACCATATGGGGCTATACAAGTGAGCCATGAGAATAAGGGTACCTTCACTATTAATGGGCAAAGGTTGACACACTACTGGGGCGGTGACTTCTTTAACCAAAAGTCAACCGTTCAACTCGAGACGCCAGAATGAAGCACCCGCAGAAAAGTCGAGCTATCGACTATAACTTAGCGCTGGGTGGGAGGCAACCCACTGTATCCTTTTTATCTGTTTATTTACTTCATTATGTTTTCTGCATTAGATTAGGAAGTTTATTTTCAAATTCATTTAGTATTCTGTTATGTGGTCATCGATCATCTAGGCATGTTAAAAAAGTCCAAGCACTGTTCACACGAGTCCTTAAGTATCACACACGGGTTCGGGTTGATTTGAGTTGTTTGGGTAGTTGAATGTGGAATTCACGCATTTCGAGGCAAATTATGTTTTCAAAATTTCACATATCAATGTTTTAAAAGTATGTTTTCGAAAAAATTGGAGGCGTTGAGAGTCGGGTCCTTTATAAAAAAAAAAAATTTTGGACAAAAATGGCATTATTTTATTTTATTTTATTCCTCTATCAAAAAAAAATTGGACAAAAATGGCATTATTTTATTTTATTTTATTCCTTTATCAAAAAAATAAAATAAAAATAAATTTAAAAAAAAAGGGTGTCTATGCGATCGCATAGATATGGTGTCTATGCGGTCGTATAGACACCAACCGAACGCAGAAGTTATAATAACATTATAACTATGCGACCGCATATATTTTAACTATGCGGTCGCATAGACCAAAAAAGGGCGTGGGTTAAAAACCCACGCCCGAAATTTTTTTTTTTTTACTTCCAAATCATTCATCCCAAATACTCTCTCGCCCAAATTCATCTTGGATCAAATTTCTACACTTGATTGCATTTCACTCACCTACACTACACAAGAATATTGAGGTTGGAGTTGCACATCATCTTGAAGGTATGATTTTTGACTATCTCCTTCATTTTGCCTTTTTTTTAGGTTATTTTCGAATTGTTTTTATGCAATTTGGGGTGATTGGGGTGTGGATGGTGGATGGAGTGTACTATTTGCAATTCAATTGTGTTATGGGGTAATTCGAATTTTGAGTTATTGGGTTTTATATGGATTTCTAAAGAATGCATGCTAGGTGTTTGATAAATTACCACATTGATAATTTTTGGGTAATTTGGTACATGTTGCATTAAATTTATTTGATTGCTGAATATATATGAGATTGGTGATTAATTTTTGAATGGGGAACCATGTGACATATTAATTTTTTGGCTCATGTATGAAGATTTCATAATGCCCACAACATGTTTGATAAAATGCCCATTTTTGGTAATCTAATACAATTATGAACTTCTAGCATGGCATATGACTATTAGATGAATGGAATAACTCGTTGTGATGTATTACCAACCAATGTGACTTAGACTACATCAACACACACATGCACACAAAATAGCTAAGTCATTGCATGCCCACAGCACCCTCCGTCCCTTATTTTGCACTACCATTTGATGCACCAAACGAACTCCGATTGAGCTGAAATTTGGGTATTTGCTAGACCTCATTGCATACTTTCATATGCCCGGGGGCTGCCCGAGAAAATCTTGATAATTCTCGATGGTGCCCGGGGCCGAAGGTGTACACTCAATCATGACTCCAACCATTTCACTATGAGCATATTCACCCAAATTTTCTTATGTTTTCATATGGACTATACATTTATACTACTCTAATCATCATACATTGTTCATTACACACCGTGGTAGTATACATGCATATTGAAACAAGTTTGGGGGATTTGTGAATTACGTGCTTTTCATTTCATGCGATTTCTCGCTGTACAACAAGATGTTTAATGCTAGCTATTTTCCAACCTTGCAGGATGCCACCAAAACGAACTTCAAAAGGAAAAGAGAAGGTTGGCTCATCATCCAGCACAGCACGCACTCGAGTGGTTGAAGGTGGGATACAAAGATTCTTGACTTCTGAGGCAGCAGCCCGATATGAAAACATAGTGAGTCGATGGACAGTGACACCAGAGCGGGCTGTTAAATTGGAAGACTTTCCTGATTTCGAGCTGACCACTTTGGTGCATAACTGTGGATGGGATAAAATAGTGGAGCAGCCACATCGGAGTTATGAATTGTTGGTAGGGGAATTTTACGCCAACTTCAATACAGAAATTGACACACCAGGGTCCGACCACCTACATCAGACTTGGGTCAGGGGAAAATGGATCACATTCTCACCCGAGGTTATTCAAGACTACTACCAGCTCACGTGGGAAAACATAACCCCTATACTAGGTGACTTTAATTGGCATGAAGTGGCGGAGATCTTATTGGGGCGACAAAATGCATGGCCACTCCCCACCACCGAGTAGCACCAGATTGAGCTGACACCATCTATAGCCATCCTGTGACTGTTTATGTGCCACAACATTGAGCCGACCTGTCACAGTACCACATTCACAGATCCCACAGCTGGATTCCTTTATCACTTGATGCGAGGTAATAAGGTTGATCTTACCACATTCACAGAAAGGCTCGAGTTATAAAGGCTCGATCAGATGACTTTTTATTAACCTCTTTACCTCTTGCTTTCTATATGACCCATGTATCGAGCTTTGGGCCGGTGACTCCTAGATCAGTTAACCTTAGGGCACCAGATTTTGAAATATCCTTACAGGCTTACTTGCTCGAGTCATAAAGACTGGAAAAGAAGTGTCTTATTCTCACAAATTAAGTTTATGCCCTTATTTTTCTAGACATCTGGTATCCAAAACCAACCCTCAATTTAAGATTTTCACCTACTCTTCATCCCACTAGTCTAGGCAATCCACACAATAATTCATGCACGGAGCCTCACTTATCTCAATGTTCTCCTATAATAGTTCAACTATCACCAAACTGTCTTTAGGTAGTTTACGGGTTAATTCAATAGGGGGTTACATTATTTTCCTACTTTATGCTCAAACCCCCAATCACTTACCTAACATGTAAAGCATGAATGACGTGCATAAAGGATGTCGAGTATTACATCAACAAGTATTAGTTGACCTAATTAACACCGACTCCAAAGTTTTAAAATATACCAATCCAATAGTAACATCATAGCCGGCAAGGCGATTAGGCTCACACAAGCATACATAATCAATATTCACTCACAAGCATGCCTCATGCAACAATTAGTCAAATTAAATCTGGATTGTGGAAATGCAATTAATTACATGCCGAATGTCTTTATCAAATTATGCCACCATCGTCAAAAACTTGTTCGTGAAATATTTCTTTCGATTTAAATTACCACAAGTGTACGGGTCGTGACAAGTAATAAAGTGGACTTAGAAGTCCGAGTATCGTCCCACAGAGAAAGAGTAGTTCAATTTTATTTATTTTAGCCTTAACCGAAACTAATTGATTTAAGATGAATTTTAGAATTAAAAGCCCTAATTTTGGGAGAAATCCCCAAATTGAAAAACCCTAATTTCAAATCAAACCCTAATTTTGGAAGAAATCCTCAAATTGAAAAACCCTAATTTCAAATCAACTTAACGAATGACTCAATTACGAAATGTTATGAAAATAAATGAAATGTATTGTCAATTTATGAAAATCTATGTAAAACGAATGCACTAGGATCACAAATCCCCAAATAATTACTAATTAAACCCTAATTTCACAATTTTGATAATCCAATGAGAATTTGACAAATCAATGCTCCTAAATCTATTCAATACTCTCTCTCGAGATATATTGAACCTATTCTCATAAATCACCAGCCTATATTTCTATGAAGGATACAATTATACAAGAATACATGTAATTTTATTTTGTGAGCAATTAAAGATTTACATAGGGTATAGGGGTATATTTCTATCCCCTATCGGACCCTATGATGAATCATATATGTCGAGTTTAATCCAATTTTCTCAAATTCAGAATTAAACCACCAAATTCACACAATTTAAGTGCACATTAATTGTGGAAATAAATAAATCAATGTAATTCATTCAAATATCCCATCAAACTATGAATTCAAAATCATGAAATAACAAGTTTAATAATAATTACATGGTTCATCGATCACCTAGTTGCAGAAATCTAGCCTATCATGATAAAAATAACGAAATCTAACAAGTTTTGAATAAAATACATCATCGGGTTATCAAAATTTGAAGAAATCTTGTAAATCTTCGCATCAATTCATGTTCTTGCCTTCAAATCCTCTCCAAAATGAATGTTTTTGCCTCCCAATTCGTTCGTCCGGCTTCTGGATGTTTATTTGCTATTTAAACTCGTCGAAATTAGGTTACCAAAGGAGTTGCAATCATATAAGGAAACTGCAAAAATCGGGTACAAGTTATACCTATGCGACCGCATAGGTATATGAAAAATGGCATTTTTAATCCCTGGAGGGTCACTCGCGACCGCATAGGTTTTATACTATGCGACCGCATAGTAGAGCGAACTTCTAATTTGAGTCATTTTGATCCTCAAGTTTCATTCCTTCACTCCTTGACCTCCTCTCTTGTTTCTAGTTGCTCCAATGTTCCATTATAACTTCCAATTGGTGCTTAGCTTGATCAATTGCTTGATGTGTTCATCAGGTTAACTTTCAGATAATAGCAATTTGGTCCCTGAACTTTCATTTTGCTCCAATTTGGTCCTTTTTCGGCTTTTTCTTTTGAATTCCACTATTTCCATAGAATCACCTACATTGCATGAATTCGACAAAATTAAGTAACAATTCAATCCTTTTACTTGTATTTAAGTCATGTTTGTGATGTAAATAAGTGTGCAAAAACACACTTATCAAACCCTCCAAACTTGAACTATTGTTTGTCCTCAAACAAGATAGTGATATAATTCTGAACAAACATGGCTTAACACCTTGCCTTGGCTCAGGATTGGACTAAATAATTGATTTTATGAAAATTTAGCAGTGCAAAATGACATCAACCTTTACCTGTTAAGTGCATACTTGACGTGTGTGTGTGGATTCATGCTAACATATCAAGTTCATGATGAGTTTGAGTCCCGACCCCAAGTTGTCAAATGTCTCCTTACTCGCTCGAGAGATACACAACCCCCCAAACTTATTCTTTTCACTCAATTATCCCGGGATTGTGTTTAAAAATTATGAGTTTACCTAGCTATAGTTCTCACCCTCTCGTAGTTTGGATTAATTTCACTATCACAAGTTCACATGTCAACAAGTGAAGGCTCTCCTAGTTTTGATTGCTTCGACACTCAAGATTAAACTAGGTTACTTGTCTCGCCTCAAAGGTATAGTTTCTTCCACCAATTGTCCAAGGGCTTTTCTTCTTGTTATTGTCTCTTTTTGTTTTTCTCACTTTTCTCTGGTCTCGTCAATGGAACCAAAAACTCACTTCAGTCATCACTAAGATTGGGTTCATTCAATCTAAGGCTGACTATTCTTTGTTTGTTAAGAAAGCATGCACTTCATTTACTGTTATGTTGGTGTACGTTGATGACATGGTTATTGCAGGTGATAATGCTTCGGAAATACAGCAATTGAAGGATTATCTAGCACAAAATTTCAAGCTCAAGGACATTGGTCCATTGAAGTATTTTTTAGGCATCGAAGTGGCACGATCATCTCAAGGCATTTCCATTTGTCAAAGGAAATATGCCTTAGAAATCTTACAGGATTGCGGACTTCTTGCTGCAAAACCCGTTGGTTTTCCTATGGAGCAGAATTTAAAACTAACTGCAGAGGACGGGATTGATCTTGCTGATCCTACAAAATATAGAAGACTCATTGGGCGGTTACTTTACTTAACCATCACTCGTCCGGACATTTCATATTCAGTTCAAGTGCTTAGCCAATTTTTAAGCAAACCAAAGGACACCCATTGGAAGGCAGCCTTGCGGACAGCAAGATATTTGAAGGGCTCACCATCACAGGGTCTATTCTATCCAACTTCAAGCTCATTCCAATTATCAGCATTTTGCGATGCGGACTGGGGTGCTTGTTCGATAACAAGAAGGCCCATTACTGGGTTTTGTGTTTTTCTTCGGAATGCTTTAATTTCATGGAAATCCAAGAAACAGCGGACAGTCTCTCGCTCATCTGCCGAAGCAAAATATCGGTCGATGGCATCCACAACGTGCGAACTGGTATGGTTTCGAAGTTTGTTGTGTGATCTTGGAGTTGATTTAGTTAAACCAGTTCAGCTCTTTTGTGATAATCAGGCCGCGATTTATATTGCCTCAAATCCGGTTTATCATGAACGTACAAAACATATTGAAATCGATTGTCATATTGTAAGAGAGAAGCTGCAGGAAGGTTTATTGAGACCATCACATATTCCATCTAAGATGCAAGTGGCAGATATCCTCACCAAGGCAATTGGTTCACAACAGTTTCATTTTCTTCTAAGCAAGATGGGGATTCATAGCATCACATCCCCATCTTGAAGGGGAGTAACGAGCAGACCACAGACAAAAATGAAAGAAATCTGATCTGTTAAGAAGACTGAGGCACAGGTTTCGAAGGTTGACCTAACCATTTCTGGTCGAACATGTCCTGAAGAAGAAAGTAGCTGAATATGGTCATTCCTCTGTTTCGCACCTGCACTAGACAACTGGGAAGTGATTTAATAGCTGTATTTTAGTTCTTTAATTTATATTATTTGCTGTAGATTGTGATCTTGATTTTCAGAGTTTTTTGTAGTATTTAAGAACTCATTTGCTTGTAATTTATCCATTCAAGAGTGGGGAATACATTGGAAATATTGAGTAACCATACTGGTCACTTAGCAATTCTCCCATCTTCATTTTTATTACCAAGGTCCTTCCTGCCTTTGTTGATGGTTGAAAGAGCCCAACCGAACGTGAAGAAGCAGTACCCTTTTCACTACAGTTCGAGCTAATGGACGGACAACGCGAAGGTAATTTCCCAACTCTTTTTGTGTTTTTGTGGGTGCGATGAGTTCAGAAACGTGCTGAAAATTACTTAGATAATTTTTAATTGTGCTGAAGCCGTACCCATTTCACTTCTGTGATTTTATGCTTTTATGATTATTTTGTTTTTCATCATTCATATGTTTCTGTTCTTTTGTTTTTTTGACTGAAAATAAAAATTTTCATACGCAGCCAAGAACACGGTTGTTCTTATTTCATAGTATCTTATGGGCATTAGGATCAGCCTCAGTGAAAATAAAGATTTTACAAATGTTTTGGGATGGGTGCAGCTTCACTGCAAAACTACCTGGAATTGTGTGACATTCAACTAATTAGTGTTCCTGCATGCAGTTTTAATGCCTTAGTTTGCGTAACCCCTCGAAAGGGGGATGTTTACTTTCATATTATACTGTTTGGATTTGCTAATTTGCATTTGGGTTGTGGTTAAATTAAAGTGTGTGATCATTTTGTGTTGTAGATGTGTTTTCTAACTTGTGGCTCACACATGGCGGCAAGGGATGTGTGAACGAAAACATAGGTTGCTGCGTTTCAAGTGGAGCGAAGTTACCACGAAGAAAATGTGCAATTTGAGGATGAGCCAAGTGGTACATCGACAATTCAAGATTTGTCAAGTTTATTGATAAGTGTTGTTAATAGATGTATATACATGCAGTGGCGAATCCAGGATTTAGAATCAGCACGGGCGGGCGTTGACCGTTGACTGTCGGCTGTAATAAAATATTAAGAGCTCGTTTGATGTACTTTTTTTTGTTGCAAAAAATGCATTTTGGAATAGTGATTTGATGAAGAATAAGTGGTTAAAAATTAAAAAAAAATTAATTTACATGTAATATTATTTTATTAAAGAATGTATGGTTAAAAATAAGAGAGAAAAATGTATTTTAAAATAAATGGGAATTAAATAAGTCATAAAATTTAAACATGACAATTATTTTGTTGAAATTGAATATATATAATTTTGTTATAAGATTAAACCATACTCACCAAATGACATTATCGCCAAATTTTATATAATTCAAAGGGAGAGCAAGGGTTTGAATACAAAACCACTATAACTAACATATATAAATTTGTTAAATTTAGTGTCACAAATTAGTAAGTGCCATAGTGGTCAATCTCCTAACAATTTTTAGAAGATGTCTAGGTTCGAATCCCCTCATCCCTGTTCCATCAAATTTTGGTAAAAATTGTAGAAGCAAAAAAATTCCTACAATAAATTCCTGTAAAAGGAATCGAACCCGGGACTTGCAATAAGAAAATGCCGCCCCTACCCACATCGGCTGGAAGCAAAGTTTGAAGTGA